GGAGCGGGGGGAGCGGGGGGCACGGAGAGCACAGCGGGCATGGGGGGGGCACAGGGACACCGGGGCACGGGGAGCACGGGGCAGGGGGAGAGGGGAGGTCTGTGCCGTGTAGGATGTGCCCCTGCCGTGCCCTCCCCACGTGCGGGGTGTCCCTGCCATGCTGTGCCACGCTGTGCCTGTGCCATGCAGCAGAGCCGTGCCATGTCACACCCAGCTGTGCCGTGCCCATCCTGCATCCCTTCCATGCCCATTCCATGTCTCCATGATGCCCATGCCACCATACCCCGTGAGTGTCACACCCATCCCGTGCCAGGCTGTGCTGCCTGTGCCACGCCATGACCACGCCACGCCCATGCCACGGTCATGTCACGGCCACGCCGTGCCCCTGCACTGCCCACGCCACCCCCACGTGTGCCATCCCCGTGCCACACCCGTGTGCAGGACATGCCTGTGCCACACTGTGCCCGGGACATGCCTGCACCATTCAGTGCCATGCCGTGCCACACCCGTGTGCTGGCCGTGCCATGCTGTGCTGTGCCACGCTGTACCTGTGTGTGGTACACACCTGTGCCATGCCGTGCTGTGCCGTGCCATACCCATGCTGTGCCATACCCACACTGTGCCATGCCACGCCATGCTGTGCTCTGCCATGTCACGCCATACCCACACTGTTCTAGCTGTGCCGTGCCCATCCTGCATCCCTTCCATGCCCATTCCATGTCTCCATGATGCCCATGCCACCATACCCCGTGAGTGTCACACCCATCCCGTGCCAGGCTGTGCTGCCTGTGCCACGCCATGACCACGCCACGCCCATGCCACGGTCATGTCACGGCCACGCCGTGCCCCTGCACTGCCCACGCCACCCCCACGTGTGCCATCCCCGTGCCACACCCGTGTGCAGGACATGCCTGTGCCACACTGTGCCCGGGACATGCCTGCACCATTCAGTGCCATGCCGTGCCACACCCGTGTGCTGGCCGTGCCATGCTGTGCTGTGCCACGCTGTACCTGTGTGTGGTACCCATGCTGTGCCATGCCACGCCATGCTGTGCTCTGCCATGTCATGCCATACCCACACTGTTCTGTGCCATACCCACGCTGTGCCATTCCTGTCCCATGCCGTGCCATGCCATACCCATACTGTGCCATTCCTGTGCTGTGCCATGCCATTCCATACCCACACTGTGCCGTGCCATGACATGCCATGCCGTGCCACACCCGTGTGCTGGCCGTGCCATGCTGTGCTGTGCCACGCTGTACCTGTGTGTGGTACACACCTGTGCCATGCCGTGCTGTGCCGTGCCATACCCATGCTGTGCCATACCCACACTGTGCCATGCCACGCCATGCTGTGCTCTGCCATGTCATGCCATACCCACACTGTTCTGTGCCATACCCACGCTGTGCCATTCCTGTCCCATGCCGTGCCATGCCATACCCATACTGTGCCATTCCTGTGCTGTGCCATGCCATTCCATACCCACACTGTGCCGTGCCATGACATGCCATACCCATGTTGTTCCATTCCATGCCATGCCGTGCCGTGCCATTCCATGCCATACCCATGTTGTGCCATTCCTGTGCCATGCCATGCTGTGCCATGCCATTCCATACCCACACTGTGCCGTGCCATGACATGCCATACCCATGTTGTTCCATTCCATGCCATGCCGTGCCGTGCCATGACATGCCATACTTACACTACCATTCCTGTGCCCACTGCCCTGCCCTGCCATGCCATACCCACTCTGTGCCATTCCTGTGCCCGCTGCCGTGCCATGCCATGCCGTGCCGTGCCATTCCATGCCATACCCATGTTGTTCCATTCCATGCCATGCCATGCCGTGCCGTGCCATGACATGCCATACCCACACTATGCCATTCCTGTGCCCACTGCCTTGCCCTGCCATGCCATACCCACTCTGTGCCATTCCTGTGCCCGCTGCCGTGCCGTGCCGTGCCGTGCCAGCCGGTGGAGGTGAGCGGGGCCATCGAGGAGGAGTTCGCCGTTGCCCGGCTCTACATCAGCAAGATCAAGTCGGAGGTGAAGTCGGTGGTGAAGCGCTGCCGGCAGCTGGAGAGCCTGCAGGTGGAGTGCCACCGCAAGCTGGAGGTGACGGGGCGCGAGCTGTCCTCCTGCCAGCTCCTCATCTCCCAGGTGCGCCAGGGCCGGGCGCTGCCACTGCCAGGGCACCCCGGCCTCCGGTGGCACAGGGTTTTGTGACCCTCGGATTTGGTGACACCAGGCTTTGGTGGCCCAGGGGTTCTGTGACCCACATTTTGGTGACCCAAGATTTAGTGGCTCCAGGGTTTGGTGGCTCAGGGTTTTGTGCCCCCAAGATTTGGTGACGCCACAGTTTGGTGGCTCTGAGGTTTGGCAGCTGAAGGCTTTGGTGTCCCCAGAATTTGGTGGCCTGGGGATTCTGTGACCCAGGTTTTGGTGGCCCCGGATTTGGTGGCCGGGGTTCTGTGACCCAGGTTTTGGTGGCCCCGGATTTGGTGGCCGGGGTTCTGTGACCCAGGTTTTGGTGGCCCCGGGATTTGGTGGCCAGGGGTTCTGTGATCCAGGTTTTGGTGGCCCCAGGTTTTGGTGGCCAGGGGTTCTGTGACCCAGGGTTTGGTTTCCTGGGGTTTTGGTGGCCCTGGATTTCTCAGCCCTGGGTTTGGTGGCACCAGAGTTTACTGGCATGGTGACCCTGGGGTTCAGGGGTCCTGGAGTTTGGTGGCTCCAAGGGTTTGGTGACCCTGGGTTTGGTGACCCTAGGGGTTTGACTCCCCTGGGGTGGGGGCTTGGTGGCTCTGGGTGTGCAGGTTCGGGTGGTCCTGGGGGTGCTGGGGGGCACCTGGGGGTGGCCCTGGGGGTGCTGGAGGGACGTTCCCGCGGGTGTCGGGGTCAGGTGCCCCTGGGGGTGTCGGGGGGCACCTGAGGGTGGTCCCGGGGTTGGGGGTTGCCAGGGCGGTGCCCCCGCGGGTGTTGGGGCGATGGTGCGGGGCGGGTGCCGGGAGCGGGCCGGGGGTGCCGGTGCCCCCCGGGCGGAGGCTGAGGCCGGTGCCGGTGCCGGTGCAGCACGAGGCGAAGATCCGCTCGCTGACCGAGTACGCGCAGAGCCTGGAGCTGCGCAAGCGGCACCTGGAGGAGGCGCACGACGCGCTCGGGGAGGAGCTGGCCAGGCTGCAGGCGCAGGGTGGGGGCGCGGACCCTGAAGGCTGTGGGGGTTGGGCAGGGGGGACAGCTGGGGGTTCTTACCGTGTGTGAGACATGCTCGAGGTGGGTGAGGGTCCCTGGGGAGCAGGGATGTGCTGGGGGTCTGGGGGTGTTGGGGGCGTGCTGGGGAGGTTGGGGTCTCCATGAGGCTGGGTGCAGGGTGTGGGGGTCCCTGGGAGATGGCAGCTCCAAGGACTCGCTGGGAATGTGGGTGAGCTGAGGGTCCCAGGAGATGTTGGGGTGTGGGGTCCCCATGGATGTTGGGGTGCGTGGGTCTCTGGGGCTGTGGGGTCCCTGCGGGGTGTTGGGGTGTGGGGTCCCCGTGAATGTTGGGGTGTTTGGGTCCTCGGGAGGTGTTTGGGGTGTGGGATCCCTGGGAGGTGTTGGGATGAGGGGTCCCTGAGGGATGTTGGGGTGAGGGATCCCTGCGGGGTGTTGGTGTGTGGGGTCCCTGGGAGGTGCCCTGGTGGGAGGTGCTGGGGTGCCCAGGAAATGTTGGGGTGCCCGAGCTGAGGCCCCCGTGGGCGCAGGCGGCGCTGGAGCTGCAGCTCGAGAGCCAGCGCGAGGCCCAGCACAAGCAGCTGGCGCGGCTGCGGGACGAGGTCAACGAGCGGCAGAAAACCATCGACGAACTGCGGGAGTGAGTGACCCCGGCCAGAGCCCGACCTGGCCAGAGCCCTGAGCCCACCCGGATATGAACCTGACCCCAAACCCGGCCCCAAACCTGACCTCAAACCTGGCCCCAAACCTGGCCCTGACCCCCACCAACCCAAGCCAGACCCTGACCCCGACCCTGTTCCTGACCCAGCTGTGACCTGGCCCTGCCCTTGATGCTGATCTCAGCCCTGTCCCTTCCTTGACTCATCCTTGGAGGGGTGGACAGGGGGGGCAGGCAAGGACAATCCCCTCGTGGATCTGTCGATCCATCATCCATCCATCATCCATCCATCCATCCTCCATCCATCCATCCATCCATCCATCTATCCATCATCCATAATCCATCCATCCATCATCCATCCATCCCTCCATCCATCCATCCATCCATCCATCTATCCATCATCCATAATCCATCCATCCATCATCCATCCATCCCTCCATCCATCCATCCATCCATCCATCTATCCATCATCCATAATCCATCCATCCATCATCCATCCATCCCTCCATCCATCCATCCATCCATCCATCTATCCATCATCCATAATCCATCCATCCATCATCCATCCATCCCTCCATCCATCCATCCATCCATCCATCTATCCATCATCCATAATCCATCCATCCATCATCCATCCATCCCTCCATCCATCCATCCATCCATCCATCTATCCATCATCCATAATCCATCCATCCATCATCCATCCATCCCTCCATCCATCCATCCATCCATCCATCTATCCATCATCCATAATCCATCCATCCATCATCCATCCATCCCTCCATCCATCCATCCATCCATCCATCTATCCATCATCCATAATCCATCCATCCATCATCCATCCATCCCTCCATCCATCCATCCATCCATCCATCTATCCATCATCCATAATCCATCCATCCATCATCCATCCATCCCTCCATCCATCCATCCATCCATCCATCTATCCATCATCCATAATCCATCCATCCATCATCCATCCATCCCTCCATCCATCCATCCATCCATCCATCTATCCATCATCCATAATCCATCCATCCATCATCCATCCATCCCTCCATCCATCCATCCATCCATCCATCTATCCATCATCCATAATCCATCCATCCATCATCCATCCATCCCTCCATCCATCCATCCATCCATCCATCTATCCATCATCCATAATCCATCCATCCATCATCCATCCATCCCTCCATCCATCCATCCATCCATCCATCTATCCATCATCCATAATCCATCCATCCATCATCCATCCATCCCTCCATCCATCCATCCATCCATCCATCTATCCATCATCCATAATCCATCCATCCATCATCCATCCATCCCTCCATCCATCCATCCATCCATCCATCTATCCATCATCCATAATCCATCCATCCATCATCCATCCATCCCTCCATCCATCCATCCATCCATCCATCTATCCATCATCCATAATCCATCCATCCTCCATCCATCCCCTGGATGCTGTCCATGCATCCTCAGCCCCCTTGACCTCATGTCCATCAGTCTGTCCATCTCCTGACCCCCTGTCTGTCCATCCAGCCGTCTGTCCCCTGCTCTCCCCACCCGTGTGTCCATCCCTCCACCCAACCCTGACCCCCTGACCCCGACTCTTGTCCTGTCCATCCTTCCTTCCCTCATCCATCCATTTGCTCCCGTGTCCTCCCGTCCATCCACCCCTGTCCCCGTGTCCGTCCATGCCTGACCCGTGTCCGTGTGTCCGTCACAGCCAGAACCAGAAGCTGGAGCTGGAGCTGGAGCGGCTGCGGGCGGAGCATGAGGCGCTGCGGGCGGAGGAGCGGGCCAAGGCGGCGCGGCTGCAGGAGCTCACGTGAGACCCCCAGGACCCCAACCCGGGGCCTCTGGGGCTCCCCTGGGACCCCAACCCAACCCCTGGGGCTCCCCACCTTCCCCTGGGGACCCCAACCCAACCCCTGGGGCTCCCCACCTTCCCCTGGGGACCCCAACCCAACCTCTGGGGCTCCCCACATTCCCCTGGAGACCCCAACCCAACCCCTGGGCCTTCCCACATTCTCCTGGGAACCCCAACCCAACCTCTGGGGCTCCCCACATTCCCTTGGGGACCCCAACCCAATCCCTACCGCTCCCCTACATTTCCCTGGGGACCCCCACCCAACGCCCAGGGCTCCACTAGATTCCGCTCAAGACCCCAACCCAACTCCTGGGGCTCCCCTAGATCCTCCTGGGGACCCCAACCCCCAGGGCTCCTTGGGATTCCCCTGGGGCCCCCAACCCAATCCCCCGGGGCTCCCCCACATTTCCCTGGGGACCCCAACCCAACCCCTGTGATCACCCTGGGGACCCCAACCCCCAGGGCTCCCCTGGGGACCCCAACCCAACCCCCAGGGCTCCCCACATTTCCCTGGGGACCCCAATCCTAGAACTCACCAGCATCTCACCACCAGACCCCCACTCATCACCCCGACCCTGCTGACACCCCAGGATCCCCAAACCCCACAGCCCCCACCCTTGGGACCCTAAACTTGACCCCCAAAGCCCCCCAGGACCCCCAGGCATCCCCCAACCTTCAAGTGACCCCCCTTAACTTTGGGGTGCTCCCCAACCTCGGAGTCCCCCTAACCTTGGAACTTCCGTTCTTTGGCTGCCCCCCTCAAGCTTGAAGTGACCCTCCCAACTTTGGGGTGCCCTCCCCTCCTTGTACTGACCCCCTCCAATCCTAGGTGGCCCCCCCAACCCAGGGGTGCCCCCTTGGATGGAGCTCCCCTAATTTTGGGTCTCTGCCCCCCAGGCTCCTCTACGAGCGCCACGAGCAGTCCAAGCAGGACCTCAAGGGGCTGGAGGAGACCGTGGTAGGTGGGGGGTCCTGGGGGGCTCAGAGGAGCCTGGGGGAGTCTGGGGGTCCCAGTGCACCCCCTCACCTCCCTCACCCTCCCCCCCCCCCACTCATCACCCCGACCCTGCTGACACCCCAGGATCCCCAAACCCCACAGCCCCCACCCTTGGGACCCTAAACTTGACCCCCAAAGCCCCCCAGGACCCCCAGGCATCCCCCAACCTTCAAGTGACCCCCCTTAACTTTGGGGTGCTCCCCAACCTCGGAGTCCCCCTAACCTTGGAACTTCCGTTCTTTGGCTGCCCCCCTCAAGCTTGAAGTGACCCTCCCAACTTTGGGGTGCCCTCCCCTCCTTGTACTGACCCCCTCCAATCCTAGGTGGCCCCCCCAACCCAGGGGTGCCCCCTTGGATGGAGCTCCCCTAATTTTGGGTCTCTGCCCCCCAGGCTCCTCTACGAGCGCCACGAGCAGTCCAAGCAGGACCTCAAGGGGCTGGAGGAGACCGTGGTAGGTGGGGGGTCCTGGGGGGCTCAGAGGAGCCTGGGGGAGGCTGGGGGGCCCCGGGGGCCCCCCCCCCCCCCCCCCCCCCCCCCCCCCCCCCAGGCCCGTGAACTCCAGACCCTCCACAACCTGCGCAAGCTGTTTGTTCAAGACGTCACGACTCGAGTCAAGAAAGTGAGGGGGGAAAATGGGGAGAAAGGGGGGAAATGGGGAGAAAATGATGGAAAAGGGGGAGAAAAAGGGGGAAAATGGGGAAAGAAAGGGGGGAAATGGGGGAAAAGGGGGGGATAAGGGAAACAGCCCGGGACAGCCCGGGACACTGCTTGAGGAGCCGGGACACCCCCACGTACCACTGGGGGCAAGGAGACCCCACCCAGGCACCCTTAGGGGCACGGAGACCCCCGAGGCCCTGCGGGGACAGGGGGTCTGAGGGGCCGGGCTGCGGGGCTGAGCCGCTGGGTGCCCGGTACCGGTGCCACTGCCGGAACCGGAGCGGGTCCGTGCCGGTGCAGGTACCGGTGTGTGCCGGTGTGCGCGGGTGTCGCTGCCCGCGCCGGTATCGGTGTGTGCGGGTGTCGGTGTCAGCGCTGGTGCGACCCGGAGCCGCTGCGTGCGGGTGTCGGTGCCGGTACCAGCGGCTGTGAGTGGGTGTGGATGTGCCGGTGCCGGTACCGGTGTGTGCGGGTGTCGGTGCCGGGGCCGGTACCGGTGTGTGCGGGTGTCGGTGCCGGTACCGGTGTGTGCGATGCCGGTGCCGGGGCAGGTGCGGGTGATGTTGGGAGCGGCTCCCGCTCCCGGTGGGGTCCCGGTGCCGGTTCTGCCGCGTCGCACAGCTGGTCCGTGGCAGCGCGGGGCAGGGACAGGGGCAGGGCAGGTTCGGGCGGCACGGGCGGTGCCGCAGCGGGTCCGGGCGGGGTCCCGGTGCCGGTACCGGTTCTGCCGTGTCGCACAGCTGGTCCGTGGCAGAGCGGGGCAGGGACAGGGGCAGGGCAGGTTCGGGCGGCACGGGCGGTGCCGCAGCGGGTCCGGGCGGGGTCCCAGTCCCGGTGGGGTCCCGGTGCCGGTGCCGGTTCTGCCGTGTCGCACAGCTGGTCCGTGGCAGAGCGGACCCCGCGTTGCGAGCCCCGGGGCGGGGGTTGCGGGGACAGGTGCGGGCGGCACGGGCGGTGCCGCAGCGGCTCCGGGCGGGGTGCCGGTGCCGGTACCGGTACTGACGCGTCGCACAGCTGGTCCGTGACAATGCAGACCTGCGCTGTGAGCTTCCGAAGCTGGAGAAGCGGCTGCGCGCTACGGCTGGGCGAGTGCAGGCCCTGGAAGGGGCGCTGAGGGCGGCCAAGGAGGGGGCGCGCCTGGACAAGCGGCGCTACCAGCAGGAGGTGGAGCGGATCCGCGAGGCCGTGCGGGCCCGGGGGGCGCGGAGGGGGCCCGGAGCCCACATCGGTACGGGGGCACCGGGGGGAGGGGGGCCCGCCCCAGCACCCCCCCGGACTCCTACCAGCAGCTCAACGTGGATAATGGTGAGGGGGGGCCCTGGGGGTGTCCCCAGTGTTGGGGTGACGCCATGGGGGGGGGCGGGGTGTCCCCAGACGCCCCCCTGGAGCTGCTCCTGTTCCTTGCAGGGAACGTGACAGACATCAATGACAACAGGTGAGAGGGGGGCGCAGCGGGCCCAGACGCCCCCCTGGAGCTGCTCCTGTTCCTTGCAGGGAACGTGACAGACATCAAGCGGGTGAGAGGGGGGCGCGGGGGGGGGGGGCTGGGGTTGGGGGGGCACAACTGACACCCCGTGCCCCCCAGGAGTGACCTGTCCTGCGCCTGCGAGGCCGAGGAGGCGGCCAAGCTCTTCCCCCTGCGCCAGGAGACGGCAGCCAGTTAATGCCCCCCAGGTGAGAGACCCCCCCCTGCATTCCTGACACCCCCCCGCGTGTGAGAGACCCCCCACCTCATTCCTCCCCGGGGACCCCCCAAACCCCCCCCCCCGGGCAGCACCCCCCCCCCACTCCCACAGCTCTGATCCAGCCCTGCTCTCCCTGGCCTGTTCCAGGCTGGGGACAGGGCAGGGGCACCTGCCGCACCCCAGTGCCACCTCAGTGCCACCCCCGTGCCAGCCCAGTGCCACCCCAGTGCCACCTCAGTGCCACCCGAGTGCCACCTCACCCCACCCAGCCCCACCGCAGTGCCAGCCCAGTGCCACCCTGTCAGGGACAGGGGACAGCCGTGGGGTGCCCCCGAGCCCCCCTCTCCCGAACACCCCCAGACCTTTCCCAAGCCTCGCTCCCTTCCCTGGCCACCTGCACTGCTCCAGCCCCCTGAAATGGGGGCACAGCCCGGGGGGCGGCCTGAGCAGTGCCCCCAACAGGGCCAGGCATGGCCCCGCTCCTGCCAGCCACTGCTCCTGTGCCAGCCCGGGTGGCACTGCCCCGTGGGCACAGCTCCAGCCCTGTGCCAGCCCGGGTGGCACTGCCCTGTGGGCACACTGCTCCTGTGCCAGCCCGGGTGGCACTGCCCCGTGGTCACACTGCTCCTGTGCCAGCCCGGGTGGCACTGCCCCATGGGCACAGCTCCAGCCCTGTCCCAGCCCGGGTGGCACTGCCCCGTGGGCACAGCTCCAGCCCTGTCCCAGCCCGGATGGCACTGCCCCGTGGTCACACTGCTCCTGTGCCAGCTGGGGTGGCAGTGCCCCGTGGGCACAGATGGGTCACTGCTCCTGTGCCAGCCTGGGTGGCACTGCCCCATGGGCACACTGCTCCTGTGCCAGCCCGGGTGGCACTGCCCCGTGGGCACACTGCTCCTGTCCCAGCCTGGTTGGCACTGCCCCGTGGGCACACTGCTCCTGTGGCAGCCGGGGTGGCACTGCCCCATGGCACCGCTGGCCTCACTCCAGCCCTGGCCCAGCCCCCAGGGCCTTTTCCGGCCCCCTGGCCTCTCCTGCCCAGCCCAGAACATTCCATGGGGATGTTGTGACCCAGCAGGACCCGGCCTTGGCCTTGGTGACCCCTGCCCTGCTGGGTGACCCTTGCTGGGTGACCCCAACCCTGCTGGGTGACCCTAAGCCTGCTTGGTGACCCCCACTCTGCTGGGTGACCCTCCCCTTCCCCTGCTGGGTGACCCCCACCCTGGGGACCCTCCCATCCTGCTGCGTGACCCCAACTCTGCTGGGTGACCCCCCTGCCCTGCTGGGTGACTCCCCCACCCTGTTGCTTCCATCCCCACTCTGCTGGGTGACACCTCCCCGTGCTGGGTGACCCCAACCCTACCGAGTGACGCCCACCCTGGGGACCCTCCCCCTGCTGAGTGACCCCTGCCCCACTCTGCTGAGTGACCCCTGCCCTGCTGGGTGACCCCAATCCTGCTTGGTGACCCCCGCCCTGCTGGGTGACCCCCACCCTGCTGGGTGACCCCTGCCCTGCCGGTTCCATCCCCAGCCCATGGACCCCGCCTGTCCTGGTCCCACCCAGCTCGGGGTCACCTGGGCACTGTGTCCCGGTCACCAGTGAAGGTGTGACCCAGCAGCAGCCCCAGCACCCGCCCTGGGCAGCCCCCAGGTCCTGCCCCCCCCCGGCTTGGTTCTGCACCCCCAGCCCCTGGAGTGTCCCCATGGAGATCCCCCAGTGTCCCCATGGAGATCCCCCCAGTGTCCCCATGGAGATGTCCCCCAGTGTTCCCATGGAGATCCCCCCAGTGTCCCCGTGGAGACCCACTCAGGGTCCCCATGGAGACCCACTCAGTGTCCCCATGGAGATCCCCCAGTGTCCCCATGGAGATGTCCCCAGTGTCCCCATGGAGATCCCCCCAGTGTCCCCATGGAGACCCACTCAGTGTCCCCATGGAGATCCCTCCAGTGTCCCCATGGTGATGCCCCCCAGTGTCCCCATGGAGATCCCCCAGCGTCCCCATGGAGATCCCCCAGCGTCCCCATGGAGATCCCCCAGTGGCCCCAGGGAGATGTCCCCAGTGTCGCCATGGAGATGCCCCCAGTGTCCCCATGGAGATGCCCCCAGTGTCCCCATGGAGATCCCCCCAGTGTCCCCATGGAGACCCACTCAGTGTCCCCATGGAGATGTCCCCAGTGTCCCCATGGAGATGCCTCCAGTGTCCCCATGGAGATGTCCCCAGTGTCCCCATGGAGATCCCCCAGCCAGGCCAGGTCAGACACTGCTGGAGGGGATGCTGCAGGCACCAGAGCCTTCCTGAGGAGCAGGGACACATCCAGAACTTTCTAGAATTCAGGGACACATACAGAGCCTTCCTGAAGAGCAGAGAGACATCCATAGTGTTCCTGAGGAACAGGGAATTCTGAGGGTCCAGAACTTTCCTAAAGAGCAGGGACACATCCAGAGCTGTCCTGAGTGCAGGGAGACATCCAGAACTTTCCTGAAGAGCACAGACACATCCAGAACTTTCCAGAAGATCAGAGACACATCCAGAGCTGTCCTGAGTGCAGGGAGGCTCAGCCCAGCCCTCCCAGCCCTGCTGGCCGGTCCCTCGGTCACAGGAGGACACCAGGCTGGGGTGGCAGGAGCTGCCTGTGACCAGGCTGGGGTGGCAGGACCTGCCTGTCCCCAAAGTCCAGCCCAGGCCGGGCTCAGCTGGGGGAGCAGCTCTGGGGTCCCTCCGCCCCTCGTGGGGTCCCACATCAGGGTCCCTCCTTCCTCCCAGTGTCCCCATGCCTTGTAGTCACTCCAGTGCTTCATGGTCACTCCACCCCTTCGTGGTCACTGTCCCCACGGCCCTGCCCGGTCACCGCGGCTGCTCCAGCCACTCCTCAGACTGTGCCAGGGGCACTGTCACATCCTGAGCTCTGTGTCACACTCAGGGCTCTGTGTCACACCCCGGGCTCTGTGTCACAACCATGGCTCTGTGTCACACCCAGGGCTCTGTGTCACACCCTGAGCTCTGTGTCACACCCAGGGCTCTGTGTCTCACCCAGGGTTCTGTGTCACACCCAGGGCTCTGTATCACACCCTGAGCTCTGTGTCACTCTCAAGGCTCTGTGTCACACCCAGGGCTCTGTATCACACCCTGAGCTCTGTGTCACTCTCAAGGCTCTGTGTCACACCCAGGGCTCTGTATCACACCCTGAGCTCTGTGTCACTCTCAAGGCTCTGTGTCACACCCAGGGCTCTGTATCACACCCTGAGCTCTGTGTCACTCTCAAGGCTCTGTGTCACACCCAGGGCTCTGTATCACACCCTGAGCTCTGTGTCACTCTCAAGGCTCTGTGTCACACCCAGGGCTCTGTATCACACCCTGAGCTCTGTGTCACTCTCAAGGCTCTGTGTCACACCCAGGGCTCTGTATCACACCCTGAGCTCTGTGTCACTCTCAAGGCTCTGTGTCACACCCAGGGCTCTGTATCACACCCTGAGCTCTGTGTCACTCTCAAGGCTCTGTGTCACACCCAGGGCTCTGTATCACACCCTGAGCTCTGTGTCACTCTCAAGGCTCTGTGTCACACCCAGGGCTCTGTATCACACCCTGAGCTCTGTGTCACTCTCAAGGCTCTGTGTCACACCCAGGGCTCTGTATCACACCCTGAGCTCTGTGTCACTCTCAAGGCTCTGTGTCACACCCAGGGCTCTGTATCACACCCTGAGCTCTGTGTCACTCTCAAGGCTCTGTGTCACACCCAGGGCTCTGTATCACACCCTGAGCTCTGTGTCACTCTCAAGGCTCTGTGTCACACCCAGGGCTCTGTATCACACCCTGAGCTCTGTGTCACTCTCAAGGCTCTGTGTCACACCCAGGGCTCTGTATCACACCCTGAGCTCTGTGTCACTCTCAAGGCTCTGTGTCACACCCAGGGCTCTGTATCACACCCTGAGCTCTGTGTCACTCTCAAGGCTCTGTGTCACACCCAGGGCTCTGTATCACACCCTGAGCTCTGTGTCACTCTCAAGGCTCTGTGTCACACCCAGGGCTCTGTATCACACCCTGAGCTCTGTGTCACTCTCAAGGCTCTGTGTCACACCCAGGGCTCTGTATCACACCCTGAGCTCTGTGTCACTCTCAAGGCTCTGTGTCACACCCAGGGCTCTGTATCACACCCTGAGCTCTGTGTCACTCTCAAGGCTCTGTGTCACACCCAGGGCTCTGTATCACACCCTGAGCTCTGTGTCACTCTCAAGGCTCTGTGTCACACCCAGGGCTCTGTATCACACCCTGAGCTCTGTGTCACTCTCAAGGCTCTGTGTCACACCCAGGGCTCTGTATCACACCCTGAGCTCTGTGTCACTCTCAAGGCTCTGTGTCACACCCAGGGCTCTGTATCACACCCTGAGCTCTGTGTCACTCTCAAGGCTCTGTGTCACACCCAGGGCTCTGTATCACACCCTGAGCTCTGTGTCACTCTCAAGGCTCTGTGTCACACCCAGGGCTCTGTATCACACCCTGAGCTCTGTGTCACTCTCAAGGCTCTGTGTCACACCCAGGGCTCTGTATCACACCCTGAGCTCTGTGTCACTCTCAAGGCTCTGTGTCACACCCAGGGCTCTGTATCACACCCTGAGCTCTGTGTCACTCTCAAGGCTCTGTGTCACACCCAGGGCTCTGTATCACACCCTGAGCTCTGTGTCACTCTCAAGGCTCTGTGTCACACCCAGGGCTCTGTATCACACCCTGAGCTCTGTGTCACTCTCAAGGCTCTGTGTCACACCCAGGGCTCTGTATCACACCCTGAGCTCTGTGTCACTCTCAAGGCTCTGTGTCACACCCAGGGCTCTGTATCACACCCTGAGCTCTGTGTCACTCTCAAGGCTCTGTGTCACACCCAGGGCTCTGTATCACACCCTGAGCTCTGTGTCACTCTCAAGGCTCTGTGTCACACCCAGGGCTCTGTATCACACCCTGAGCTCTGTGTCACTCTCAAGGCTCTGTGTCACACCCAGGGCTCTGTATCACACCCTGAGCTCTGTGTCACTCTCAAGGCTCTGTGTCACACCCAGGGCTCTGTATCACACCCTGAGCTCTGTGTCACTCTCAAGGCTCTGTGTCACACCCAGGGCTCTGTATCACACCCTGAGCTCTGTGTCACTCTCAAGGCTCTGTGTCACACCCAGGGCTCTGTATCACACCCTGAGCTCTGTGTCACTCTCAAGGCTCTGTGTCACACCCAGGGCTCTGTATCACACCCTGAGCTCTGTGTCACTCTCAAGGCTCTGTGTCACACCCAGGGCTCTGTATCACACCCTGAGCTCTGTGTCACTCTCAAGGCTCTGTGTCACACCCAGGGCTCTGTATCACACCCTGAGCTCTGTGTCACTCTCAAGGCTCTGTGTCACACCCAGGGCTCTGTATCACACCCTGAGCTCTGTGTCACTCTCAAGGCTCTGTGTCACACCCAGGGCTCTGTATCACACCCTGAGCTCTGTGTCACTCTCAAGGCTCTGTGTCACACCCAGGGCTCTGTATCACACCCTGAGCTCTGTGTCACTCTCAAGGCTCTGTGTCACACCCAGGGCTCTGTATCACACCCTGAGCTCTGTGTCACTCTCAAGGCTCTGTGTCACACCCAGGGCTCTGTATCACACCCTGAGCTCTGTGTCACTCTCAAGGCTCTGTGTCACACCCAGGGCTCTGTATCACACCCTGAGCTCTGTGTCACTCTCAAGGCTCTGTGTCACACCCAGGGCTCTGTATCACACCCTGAGCTCTGTGTCACTCTCAAGGCTCTGTGTCACACCCAGGGCTCTGTATCACACCCTGAGCTCTGTGTCACTCTCAAGGCTCTGTGTCACACCCAGGGCTCTGTATCACACCCTGAGCTCTGTGTCACTCTCAAGGCTCTGTGTCACACCCAGGGCTCTGTATCACACCCTGAGCTCTGTGTCACTCTCAAGGCTCTGTGTCACACCCAGGGCTCTGTATCACACCCTGAGCTCTGTGTCACTCTCAAGGCTCTGTGTCACACCCAGGGCTCTGTATCACACCCTGAGCTCTGTGTCACTCTCAAGGCTCTGTGTCACACCCAGGGCTCTGTATCACACCCTGAGCTCTGTGTCACTCTCAAGGCTCTGTGTCACACCCAGGGCTCTGTATCACACCCTGAGCTCTGTGTCACTCTCAAGGCTCTGTGTCACACCCAGGGCTCTGTATCACACCCTGAGCTCTGTGTCACTCTCAAGGCTCTGTGTCACACCCAGGGCTCTGTATCACACCCTGAGCTCTGTGTCACTCTCAAGGCTCTGTGTCACACCCAGGGCTCTGTATCACACCCTGAGCTCTGTGTCACTCTCAAGGCTCTGTGTCACACCCAGGGCTCTGTATCACACCCTGAGCTCTGTGTCACTCTCAAGGCTCTGTGTCACACCCAGGGCTCTGTATCACACCCTGAGCTCTGTGTCACTCTCAAGGCTCTGTGTCACACCCAGGGCTCTGTATCACACCCTGAGCTCTGTGTCACTCTCAAGGCTCTGTGTCACACCCAGGGCTCTGTATCACACCCTGAGCTCTGTGTCACTCTCAAGGCTCTGTGTCACACCCAGGGCTCTGTATCACACCCTGAGCTCTGTGTCACTCTCAAGGCTCTGTGTCACACCCAGGGCTCTGTATCACACCCTGAGCTCTGTGTCACTCTCAAGGCTCTGTGTCACACCCAGGGCTCTGTGTCACACCCTGAGCTCTGTGTCGCACCCATGGCTCTGTATCACACCCTGAGCTCTGTGTCACACTCAAGGCTCTGTGTCACACCCAGGGCTCTGTGTCACACCCCGGGCTCTGTGTCACACCCTGAGCTCTGTGTCACACCCAGGGGCTCTGTGTCACCCCCAGGGTTCGGTGTCACCCCCCGAGCTCAGGACACCCTGAGCTCTGTGTCACACCCCGGGCTCTGTGTCACACCCCGGGCTCTGTGTCACACCCATGGCTCTGTGTCACACCCTTGGCTCTGTGTCACACCCCGGGCTCTGTGTCACACCCTGAGCTCTGTGTCACACCCATGGCTCTGTGTCACACCCCGGGCTCTGTGTCACACCCCGGGCTCCTGGCAGGGTCAGTGCCCAGGGGTCACCTGGCCAGGTGAGGCCGCTCCGGTGCCCGAGGCCGCGGGAGCTCTGCGGGACAGCCCCTGCTGATGGCCCCGCCCCCGGCCCCGTCCCGGCCCCGCCCCCGGGCACCCGGCTGTGCCGCCTTCGTCACCATCTTCATTGTCATCTTCATCATCGTCACCTTCGCCATAATCTTTTTCGTCACCTTTGTCATCATCTTCATCATCATCTTCATCATTGTCACCTTCATTGTCACCTTCATCCGTGTCACCTTCATCATTGTTAAGTTCATCGTCATCTTCATCATCATCATCACCTTTGTCATCACCTTCATTGTCACCTTCATCATCACCTTCATCTTCGTTGTCCCCTTCATTATCATGACCATCATCATCTTCCTCAGTGTCACCTTCTCTGTCACCTTCACGACTGCCATCATTGTCACCTTCATGGTGACCGTCACTGTCCCTCTGTCACTCCTCCCGCTTCTCCTGTCCCACCTGAAGAGCTTGGGGACAGCCAGGGCACACCTGGAGCCACCAGGGCACACCTGGAGCCCCTGTGGGGTCACACCTGTCCCTGTGGGTCACAGATGTCCTCTGTGGAGATCACAGGTGTCCCCTGTCAGTGTCACACGTGTCCCCTGCGGCAGTGACACAGCTGTCCCTTCCCGGTGTCACACCTGTCCCCTGCAGGTGTCACACGTGTGTCGTGCAGGTGTCACACGTGTCCCTGTCACCTGCCCCTGTCACCGGTCCCTGTCACGTGTCCCGATCACGTGTCCCCCGGGGTGTTTGGCGCCCCCTATCGGTTTCCCACGCCCCTGCACGCGCCGCCCGTCGCCTGTGGCTCCCCCTAGCGGCAGCGCGGTCCCCCGGGGCCAGCCCCGCCCCGCTCCTGGCGCCACTTCCGGGTTCCGGTGCAGCGCCGGGGCCGGGCGGAAGCGGCGGCGGAAGCGGCGGAAGCGGCGGCGGAAGCGGCGGAAGCGGCGGCCATGGCGGCGGCGACGGCGGCGGGTCCCTGTCCCGGCCCCGGCCCCGGGCCCGGCCCCGGCGCCGCCCGCACGAAGAAGAAGCAGAAGCGCTTCGTGCCGCAGCGCGTGAAGCTGCCGCGGGCGGCGGACCCGCTGCTGGCCGTGCTGGCCTGGGGGGTCACGCACCAGGTCAGCAGCCCGCACCGGGACCCCGCGGCTCTGCCCCGGTACCCCCGCGGCCCTGGGATCCCCGCTCCTCAGCCGGTCCCGGGGTATCCGTGCCCGTCCCTCCGGGACCCCGCGTGTGCTCCCCGCAGCCCCCCGTGTCCCTTCCTGGCACCGTCGTCTCCCCCGGAGCCGTCGCGTCCCGCCTGCCCGGGGTCCCCATTGCCCCGTCCCGTGTCCCCGTCCCCCGGGGTCCCGTGTCCCCATCCTGTGTCCCTTCCCGTGTCCCCATCCCTGGGCTCCATCCCCCGGGGTCCCCACTGCCCCCGTCCCTCGGCTCCATCTCCGGGGTCCCGTGTCCCTTCCCGTGTCCCCATCCTATGTCCCTATCCCTCGGCTCCATCCCCCGGGGGCCCCCATTGCCCCAAGCCCCTCAGCTGCATCCCCCGGGATCCCGTGTTTCCATCCCGTGTCTCCGTCCCTCAGTTCCATCCCTGGGCTCCATCCCTCGGGATCCCCATTGCCTCCGGGACCCCCATTGCCCCCCGTCCCTCGGCTCCATGCCCTCAGGGATCCCGTGTCCCCATCCCCCGGGACCCCCATTGCCCCCATCCCGTGTCCCCATCCCATGTCCCCATCCCGTGTCCCTGTCCCGTGCCTCCATCCCCTCAGGGATCCTGTGTCCCCATCCCCCGGGACCCCCACTGCCCCCATCCCGTGTCCCCATCCCCCCGGGACCCCCATTGCCCCTCATCCCTGGGCTCCATCCCCTGCTATCCCGTGCCCCCATCCCCACACTCGGGGGTCCCCCCATTCCCGGGGGTCCCACCGCCCCTCCCCAGATCAACGAGCTGAGCCAGGTGCCGCTGCCCGTGATGCTGCTGCCCGACGACTTCAAAGCCAGCTCCAAGATCAAGGTCAACAATCACCTGTTCAACAGGTGAGCGCCGGGGGGGCACGGGGGCAGCGTCCCGGGGGGGACCCCAAAAACTCACGTGAGCCCCCCCCCCAGGGAGAACCTGCCCAGCCACTTCAAGTTCAAGGAGTACTGTCCCCAGGTGTTCCGCAACCTGCGCGAGCGCTTCGGCGTCGACGACCAGGACTACCAGGTGGGCTGGGGACCCCGGGCCACCTGTCCCCACCCCGTGTCCCCAGGGTCCCCTGGAGTGGGACTCTGGGCCACCTGTCCCCAGCCCCGTGTCCCCAGGGTCCCTGGAGTGGGACTCTGGGCCACCTGTCCCCAGCCCCGTGTCCCCAGGGTCCCTGGAGTGGGACTCTGGGCCACCTGTCCCCAGCCCCGTGTCCCCAGGGTCCCTGGAGTGGGACTCTGGGCCACCTGTCCCCAGCCCCGTGTCCCCAGGGTCCCTGGAGTGGGACTCTGGGCCACCTGTCCCCAGCCCCGTGTCCCCAGGGTCCCTGGAGTGGGACTCTGGGCCACCTGTCCCCAGCCCCGTGTCCCCAGGGTCCCTGGAGTGGGGCTCTGGGCCACCTGTGTCCCCTGGCCATGTGTCCCCAGGGTCCCTGGTGTGGGGCAGCTTGGTCACCTGTGTCCCCTGGCCATGTGTCCCCAGGGTCCCTGGAGTGGGGCGGCTGGGTCACCTGTGTCTCCTGTGTGCCCAGGGGTGGCTGTGTCACCTGTGTCACCGGTGTCAGCTGTGTCACCTGTGTGCCCAGAGGTGGCTGTGTCACCTGTGTCCCTGGTTGTGTGCCCTCCAGTGTCCCTGGTGTGGGGTGGCTGTGTCACCTGTGTCCCTGGCTGTGTCACCTGTGTGAGCAGGGGTGGCTGTGTCACCAGTGTCACCCCTGTCACCTGTGTCCCTGGGGGTGGCTGTGTCACCTGTGTCCCTGGCTGTGTGCCCTCCAGTGTCCCTGGTGTGGGGTGGCTGGGTCACTGATGTCAGCTGTGTCACCTGTGTGCCCAGAGGTGGCTGTGTCACCTGTGTCCCTCGCTGTGTGCCCCCAGGTGTCCCTGGAGTGGCTGTGTCACTGGTGTGCCTGGGTGGCTGTGTCACTGGTGTCCCTGGCTGTGTGTCCCAGGTGTCCCTGTCTGTCCCAGGTGTCCCTGTCTGTTTGTCCCTGTGTGTCCCTGTGTGTCCCTGTGTGTCCCCGTGTGTCCCCGGTGTCCCCGTGTGTCCCAGGTGTCCCTGTCTGTGTGTCCCCGGTGTCCCTGTCTGTGTGTCACCGTGTGTCCCTGTCTGTGTGTCCCTGTCGGTGTCCCCGTGTGTCCCCGGTGTCCCTGTCTGTGTGTCCCTGTCAGTGTCCCCGTGTGTCACCGGTGTCTCCGTGTGTCCCAGGTGTCCCTGCCCGTGTGTCTCAGGTGTCCCTGCCCATGTGTCCCAGGTGTCCCTGCCCATGTGTCACCGGTGTCCCCGTGTGTCCCCGGTGTCCCTGTCTGTGTGTCCCCGGTGTCCCTGTCTGTGTGTCCCCGTTGTCACCGGTGTCCCCGTGTGTCCCCGGTGTCCCTGTCTGTGTGTCCCTGGTGTCCCTGTCTGTGTGTCCCCGTGTGTCACCGGTGTCCCCGTGTGTCCCAGGTGTCCCTGGCGCGCAGCCCCCCGCGCTGGGCGGGCAGTGGGCACCGCCTGCTGCTCTCGGCTGACCGCACGCTGGTGCTGAAGGAGCTGTCGAGCGAGGACGTGGCCGACGTGCACGGGCTGCTGTGCCACTACCACCAGGTACGGACAGGGGACACCTGTGTCATTGAGGGGTCACCTGTGTGCCCGGGGGTCACCTCTGTCCCTGGGTGTCACCTGTGTGCCTGGGGGTCACCTGTGTGCCCTGGGTGTCACCTGTGTGCCTGGGGTGTCACCTGTGTGCCTGGGGGTCACCTGTGTCCCTGGGGTGTCACCTGTCTGCCAAGGGGTGTCACCTGTGTCCCTGGGGGTGTCACCTGTGTGGCTGTGTCACCGGTGTCCCTGGGGGTGGCTGTGTCCCTGGATGGCCGTGTCACGCTGTCCCCGGGTGCCCATGTCACGCTGTCCCTGGGGATGGCCGTGTGACCTGTGTGGCTGTGTCACCTGTGTCTTCAGTATGGCCGTGTCCCTGGGCGCCTGTGTCACACTGTCCCCAGGTGGCGGTGTCATGCTGTCCCCGGGGATGGCCATGTCCCCGGGTGCCCGTGTCCCCTGTCCCTGGGTGACCGTGTCCCCTGTCCCTGGTGCCTATGTCCCCTGTCCCTGGGTGCCCGTGTCCGCTGTCCCTGCTGCCCATGTCCCCTGTCCCTGGTGCCCATGTCCCCTGTCCCTCGTGTGCCCGTGTCCCCTGTCCCTGGTGCCCCTGTCCCTGGTGCCCGTGTCCCCTGTCCCTGGCCTGAGCCCCTCTGGCCCTGCTGTGGGGCAGCCTCCCCCCAAACCCTCCTGTCCCCTCTGTTCCCTCCAGGGCTCCCTCGTGGACCGAGAGGCCAGTGACAAGGAGAAGGTACTGCAGGAGGGTGCTGTGAACCCCCCAAATTTTGGAGGGGGTGGTCTCCATGCCTCGGTTTCCGCCCTCCCCAATAATGACAGCTCACAGCCTGCCCCCCTCCCCCCACGAATGTTTCCCTGGGGAGGGGCTGGCCCGTGACCCCCAGAGGCACAGCCTGGGGGGTCCTGCAGCCCTGGGGTGCCCCCTCCAGCTCAGGGGTGTCCGGGGGGGGCTGCACCCCCTGTCCCTCCCCAGGGCAAGGAGCTGCCCACCCTGAAGGACGTGGATTTCCTCAACAAGAACGAGAAGGTGTTCGTGGAGGAGGAGCAGCAGCGCGACTTCATGGACAAGCTCAAGCGGGACGTGGAGGTGGGGATGGGGGGCTGCACCCCTAGGGGGTCTGAGGGGACTGGGGGGCTCTGCCCACCCAAAGTGACCCTTTGTTTGGCCTCCCTGTGCCCACGCTCTGAGGGTTTGGGGGGAGGCTCCCCTGTGCCCTGGCTCTGAGGATTTGGGGGGGCTCTCCCTGTGACCATGAGAGTGTCCCCCCCCCCAATGACCCCTTGTTTGTCCCCCCAGCCCTGAGAGTCCAGGGGGTTTTTGGGGACCATGTCCAGTATTTGATGGCTGTGGGGGTCACAGTGCCCAGGCCCTGGGAGTTTGGGGGGCCTCCAACAGTGGCCATGAGAGTGTCCCGACCCCTAATGACCCCTTGTTTGTCCCCTCAGCCCTGAGAGTTGGGGGGTTTTTGGGCTGTGGGGGTCTCTTTCTCAGTGCCCAGGCTCTGGGGGTTTTGGCGGGGCTCTCCCTGTGACCCCTAATGACCCCTTGCTTGTCCCCCCGGCCCTGAGAGTCCAGGGGTTTTTTGGGCTGTGGGGGTCTCTTTCTCAGTGCTCAAGCTCTGAGGATTTGGGGGGGCTCTCCCTGTGGCCATGAGAATGTCCCCCACCCCTAATGACCCCTTGTTTGTCCCCTCAGCCCTGAGAGTCTGGGGCTTTTTGGGCTGTGGGGGTCACAGTGTCCAGGCTCTGAGGGTTTTGGGGGGCTCTCCATGGCCATGGCGATGTCCCCCACCCCTAATGCCCTCCTGCTTGTTCCCCCAGCCCTGAGAGTCTGGGGCTTTTTAGGCTGTGGGGGTCACAGTGTCCAGGCCCTGAGGGTTTTGGGGGGCTCTCCATGGCCATGGCGATGTCCCCCACCCCTAATGCCCTCCTGCTTGTTCCCCCAGCCCTGAGAGTCTGGGGCTTTTTAGGCTGTGGGGGTCACAGTGTCCAGGCTCTGAGGATTTGGGGGGGCTCTCTCTGTGGCCATGAGAATGTCCCCCACCCCTAATGACCTCCTGCTTGTTCCCCCAGCCCTGAGAGTCTGGGGCTTTTTAGGCTGTGGGGGTCACAGTGTCCAGGCCCTGAGGGTTTTGGGGGGCTCTCCATGGCCATGGGGATGTCCCCCACCCCTAAAGACCCTTTGTTTGTCCCCCCAGCCCTGAGTGTCCAGGGGGTTTTTGGGGACCATGTCCAGTATTCGATGGCTGTGGGGGGTCACAGTGCCCAGGCTCTGGGGGTTTTGGGGTGAAGCCCCCGAGTGTTTTTGGGGTGACCTCCCCCAATTCCCGCCGTGTCCCCTCAGTTCCTGGTGCAGCAGAAGCTGATGGACTACAGCCTGCTGCTGGGCATCCACGAGGTGGAGCGGGGCGAGCAGGAGGAGGAGGAGGAGCTGGAGGAAGAGGAGCTCGGGGGGGGCGATGACGGGGGGCTGGGGGGCCCCTATGGCACCTCCCCGGAGGGTCTGGGGGGGCTCCTCAACTCCTACCGGCCCCTGGGGCCCGGCGAGTTCGACCCCTGCGTGGACGTGTACGCCCTGCGCGGGGCCGAGGGTGAGCAGGGGGGGCTGGGGGGGAGCGCTGACCACCCCCCGGCTGTGCCCCCCAGGAGCCCCCCGGCGCGAGGTTTATTTCATGGGGCTGATCGATGTCCTCACCCAGTACGACGCCCGCAAGAAGGCGGCGCACGCGGCCAAGACCGTCAAACACGGGGTGAGGGGCACGGGCTGGGGGGCACCCGGCCTGGGGGGGCATTTCCGAACTGGGGGGGGCACCCCGGGCTGGGGAGGGCACCCTGAACTGGGGGAGGGCACCCCGAACTGGGGGAGGGCACCCCAAACTGGGGGGGTTGCATTTCCCAGCTGTGGAAGGGGCACCCAGGACTGGGGAGGGCACTCAGGACTAGGGGGGGCACCCCAAATTGGGGGGGAGGGCATTTCCCAACCGGGGGGGCACCCTGAACTGTGGGGGGCACCCCAAACTGAGGGGAGGGCATTTCCCAACTGGGGGAGGGCACCCTGAACTGAGAGGGGCACCCCAAACTGGAGGAGGGCACCCCAAACTGGGTGGGGAGGGGGAACTTCTGAACTGGGGTTTGCATTTCCCAACTGGGGGGTGGGCACTCCAAACTGGGGAGGGCACCCCGAACTGGTGGGGGGCCATTTCCCAACTAGGGGGTGGGCACCCTAAACTGGGAGGGGGACCCCAGAGTGTGGGGGGCACCCCAAACTGGGGGGAGGGCATTTCCCAACTGGGGGGTGGGCACCCTAAACTGGGAGGGGGACCCCAAAGTGTGGGGGCACCCCAGACTGGGGGGTGGTACTTCCCAATTGGGGAGTGGGCACCCACACTGGGGGTGGGCAGTTCCCAAACTGGGGGAAGAGGGGGTACTTCCCAGCTGGGGGTGGCAGGGCTGGTTCCCTCTCGGTGTTTTGGGGAGGGGGGTTATTGGAGTGTGGGGACAGGGTGGGGTTGGGGGGGCCAAGCCCCTGGCAGGGTC